ATTAGCTAGTACTATGTATCCAAGTACTTTAAGGATTTTGTCTAGTAGAAACATTGTCACTGACCAGGACTCTATATATATTTTGTGAATGAATTCTGGCTTACTGTTAACATAACAGGATCAGCCGTACATTGCTATTGTAGAATGCTTGTGCTTCCTCTAGATCGGTTTAATATTTTATGGAACCCAAAATAAATACTAGATAAATTAAAATAGTTCTATTAGGTAGTTCAGAATATCATTCATGTTGAGAAAAATAGTTAAAATCTGTCGCAGTAATTGGGTTCTTAAAGATAACAAACCAAAGAATAGCAAGATCTTGTCCTGTTTATTATTTAGCTCTTTTCTGTCATACATTTGACCAATGTACCTGACCCGCGTCATCCGGCCATAACAACATTGACACCCTCTTTTCACGCCCTCTTCTGCAGTTATCCCCAACTTTCCTGACGTCGAAAAGCACACATTAACTCTTCCAGTCTAACCTTACCTTGCCCTGTTCATCTCGTCTTTCACACCCCTGCTACAAATCCCTGAACTCTCTAACCTTGTCTTGTTAATCTTGACCGCTCACGCCTTCCCATCTACAAGTCTCTACAACTCGCCCTACCTACAGGCTGGCCCCGGATATCGTGGTGGACGACCTCGGGGAACCCACACCGGTACACCGGGGTAGGTCGGACTACGAGGCGCATAAGGGCGGAGGCAACGACAAACTTCCAATCGTCCTCCTACAGGGATTTTTCAGGGGCCCGGGAGGCAGGTCGCCGCATCATCGTCGACCCTCCTTCGTAAGTTGTCATAGTTCTTAGTTCGTCAATTGCCAATCCCGTTTTTTCGTGATGTGTCATAACATCTTCATCCTTCAGTTCCTTTGTTCTTTCTCGGTCAGCTGTCATATTCCTCTCCAGTTACCATGTTAATTCTTTCATCCAGGTGACGTACCCAAGTATGGAACAAATAATTTAACTTTTGGTGTGGCTTTAATGTACGCTTCGCTCGGTCAGTCAGGTTAAGTGTCATTGAATGTGGCCATGTATAACTGGATGTGTGACCTTGATAAACCATAACAAGTTCTTGCCATCCGATAGATTATACTAATGATCATAAATTATTATTTTAAATACAACCCGTTTCATATTTGGCCATGTATGAAGACCAGCATAAATTAAGTGGTGTAAGTGTTCATCACTTGGGGTAACAAGGTTGTGTTGACCAAACCACACACTAGAAAGTGAAGAGACGACGACGTTTCGGTCCGTCCTGGACCATTATCAAGTCGATTATGTCTCTTCCCTGATCGTCGACTCTTCACTTTCTAGTGTGTGGTTTGGTCAACATTTTTCAGCCACGTTATTGTGACGCCTCGTTTGCATAACATGGTTGTGTTGCAGAGTGTGAGCGAGATGACCCTACCCCCTCACCTGGTGGACGTGACTTCTGTGCTCCGCGGCGCCCTGCCTGTCTTGCCGCGCTCCCTAGCCGCCCTCTGCCTCACCCTCAATATTCTCCTCCCTGGTCTAGGTGAGTCTCCCCGCCCGTTCTCCCTGGTCTAGGTGAGTCTCCCCGCCCGTTCTCCCTGGTCTAGGTGTGAGTCTCCCAGCCCGTTCTCCCTGGTCTAGGTGAGTCTCCCCGCCCGTTCTCCCTAGTCTAGGTGAGTCTTTTCGCCTCTCCTACTTGTCTAGCTTAGTCACACCTACTTTTTCATAGTCATACAAATACTGTATGGCTTGTTGTATCTTAAGTGTATATTGCATACATCGTCTGTTGCAATCCCATGTTGTAGCCATTATTGCACCATTCATGTTTTTTGCTTGTATCACCTGTAGTCTCGCGCGTCACTGTATCTGCTGCTAGATACCCCTGCTGTAGCACGTGACTGCTTTAATTAATACATGTCACCGGTTGTATAATATATCCAGTATTGTATCACAAGTTGTTGTTTCTTCCCTATGGCATCACATACTGCATTACCTGTTACACCCGCTGTTGTATCATTAACTTCCCGTTGCTTTTTCGTATGCAAAACCGCTTCATCCAGCTTCCTCACTTTAATGTATTCCCTGGTGTTCATTTAGCTTTACGACACCCATGAGCGAATAGCGAAAATCTAGCACTCCTAAAAGCCCCAACTTGAAACTATTGATTCCTTTATAAATAACTTACGGCCTTTCGAGCACTATGCTTACACTGATTACTCTGTTCAAATGTTAAAAGATCTCATTGCAGCAGTCTGTAGAATATACAGTGATAATACTTTATGGACTACTATTGTAAGACTGAACATCTGGCTTAGTTCCACACATGCAGAATTAGCTGCACTACAACTTGCCACTAACACTGATAAAATATAGGAATAATTTTCTGTGAATTAAAGTTTGCTCTTCAACCACCTGAAAACCCAAAATGCAAAATAGATACTAGGAATGTTGTAACATCCATTATAAACAACATAATTAATATAGAACAAGAGTTTGTCTTATATGTATGGATAATATCTCACATAAGTGTTGTCCAACATGATAATATAACATAAGAGGAATTATTAAGATAAGCCTGAAAGTGAGCTAGACATAGGTATTCCAATCTCTGTTGCAAAACTCGCACTATTTTAGGAAATTAAGGATGGCAGAAGAACAATCACTGACACTTAAAGGGCAGAGAGCACGAGTAAAACATTTACGATTAGTTTAGAACCGAGAACTATACATTCGAACAGCACAAAACATCCACCAGACAGAGTGATATTTTAACACTCTCCTACGCTATATATGTGAGTGTCCTGTTGTCAATAACTTCAGACGAAATGGGAGGAGATACCTTGAGCTCTGTAACTACTTCACACATTCACGAATATTGGTAGACATTCTTGTGCTCTACCCAACGTTTGCTAGTGCAGTCTAGTAGATTAGAGTCGCATCTCATGTTCTCTCCTGATTCCTTGTATGACTAACTATCCTGTGAGGTGGGGAAACTAGGTGAATTCACAGCCAGCGTTTGATTTATACTCTATAATCCTTCACGAATAATAGGATAACAGCACATTGCTGAAGGTTCGTTTGTTAATAACAAAAACATAACGGATCCCGTATATAAAGACCACTTTTCATTACTAACCAACCTTTTGTCTATAAGATTCCTCCTTCTGGTCTGTTAAAACAGGTCTATTTCAGCATGGGAGCGTGTTGAAAGCGGCACTCATTGTATGGGGAAACTCTGGTAGGGGGTAGAATGTTAATAACATGCGTTAACCCATGCAGTAACACCCGCTCTGCCCTCCACCCAACAGGGACTGCGGCCAGTGGGTGGCTGGGCCTCTGCTGGGGCAGGAATCGCATGGGGACTATGGAGACGACTGGCCATCGCTTCACCTCAGTGGTGGTGACTGCAGTCACCGGCTTCGTCCAGCTCTTCACCGTGACATTCTTCCTGGTCGGGTGGTTCTGGGGAGTGGCGTGGGGCATCCTGCTCGTCTCCATAGCCAGTGAGTGGCAGGGTCGGCCCAGCGGCCAGGCCCTCGAAGAGTAGGGTCACAGGCAGGAGATGGACGAGGCTTGGATAGAAGGACATGGTTCGATGAGATAGAATCCTTGGGGATAGGGAAAGCGGTAAATGGTAGGATTAATTGCCTGAGGTTGCACATCGATAGATTAATGTGTATTTTTTTTTTTTAGTTGTGGTCGTGAAGTGTATATAGTACTAACTAATTAATTAGATGATTTTTTTGCGTAAGTGCTCGAGAGTTGTGTGGCACTTTTTGTCACCTGTTAGAATATACGTAGGCAGTAATACCCGAGTATTTTTTTTTTTAGAATAGATCTGGTGCTTATATTTTAATAGTGGATGTCCGAATCTCAAGTTTTTTTTTATATAGTTTCTTGTAGTCCACATGCAATACATACACGCTGCCTGCATACACGAGCTTTGCAAGACGCACAAACACACACACACACACACACACACACACACACACACACACACACACACACACACAAACTAACTAACTAATCAAACAAGAATACTCGTCACAGACAGGCATATAACCAGGTCAGACCAAGCAACAGTAGTCTTAGCTGTGTCATTAGGGCTTCTTATGTCATACCTCAACATTCATAACACAAGTTCCTATTCACTAACAAGCAAAACTTGTGTCATTTAGCTTTTCAGTGACAAAAAATACACAAAATTAAGCCATGGCTCATATTTAAATAATTGTAGAAGCATATATTCTTGTACTAAAATATAATCTTTTGGGACTTATTAATATAAAAGTATATATTTATCTAAATATGAACTGTACTTAGAGTACACTTTAATGCTTGTTTTTATAAGTATAACTGATGCGACGTAGTACTGCAGATAATTTATAACTAGAAAAGCTTTGAATTTTGAAGTAATAATTAATTTGAATCTAATGCAAAGTTTGATAAATTAATTGCTATTTTATTGTAATTCTATGATAATCATTAGTATTATTAGCATTATTATTAGAATTATCTTTTTAATAATAATTAGTAATTTGTAGAGCTTTTGTTATTGTTTTTCAGACAAATACGCCCACTTCCTCTCCGAGCACCGCACCTCCCTCACTGGAGCTGTCAGTCTGGAGATGTTGGCGGTCAACGCCAGCTGAATCCTGTCAAGTTTATTGACGTCGCAACAACGCAATAACGTTTATGAGACGTTGTATTTGCGATGTGTATTTGCTGGGCCACTTCTAAAGCCACACTTGAAACTTCAACAGCTTCCTGAAGCCTCATAACACCTGATGCCGCCACACATGTATGGTTACTTCTGATGAGATCACATTTCAGACCATGGGTGAAACCATACCATTTCATGCAATAGTTTTGTATATTTTTACTGATCTATTGTTTTAAAATTCCTGTAATGTATTTGCAAGTTGAGGAAAAGTAGCTGCAACTGCGTGTTAAATAGTCTTGGAAATCATATTACATGTCCTTATAATTTATAGTTCGATTTTTTAAGTTTCTCGTTGTATCAAATTTTTAATCCGTAATAATATATTTTATTTATTTGTAATATATTATCATTCGTCAAGCAGGTAGTGTTGGAATCACACTTAAGCTCACGATAATATTTGTCCTTGTGTGTTTGTGTGTGTGTCGTGCCAGTTTAGAGAGAGGCCAAGTGACGTTTGAGAGAGTTTAAGTGACAGTCTAAAGAAGCCTGGTGTCAGTTTTAAAGTGGTCACGTGGCAGTCTAGTTAAGTCAGGCGGCAGTCTAATAAGGTCAAGTGGCAGTAAAGAGAGGTCATTTGGAATTTTTGGGTTTGGATACCTTTGACCATGCTTGACCATACTAATGTGTTTGGTTCGTTGCTCCTAAACACCCGAAACAATCATGATATTAACCTTGAATGTGAGACGCGATTGGGAAAGGCAGTTTTGTTCCTTATTCAGATCGTTTCATGCGACGAGCTTGTGAATGCAATGTGTGTGCAATGTTAGGATATAAGTAGCAGGACTTAGAAATTGATGTTTATATACGGTACGATTGTTATATTAGAAGATTAGATACCTGGCTTTTATGTGATATTTGTTCAGTTTGTGATAAGTGGTTAATTTTGAAAACATTGAAGTTATTTTTGCGCTCTGAACGTTGGGATTCTGAGGAGCACCGGTGGATCATTTAATAATATATAAACAGCAAACCACAATAGTCTGGGGTAACATTTCATTCACTTGGACCGACAGAGACTCGAACACTGTCTAAAAAAGGCGAGACATTCATCTAGTCAGAAGAATGACGGTCTATGCTTTAGTGGACACAAAGTTTGTTAATTGTTATTTCGCTGTTATAGCGTCGTAACAGCAGAAAATGGTAACATAATAACATTGTGGCTATGTAGTATCTTTGTAAGAAGATACTTAGTGACGTCACTTGCAGGCAAGTGATCTGCTTTGTTCTGGCATTGACGATGAGTTTGTTAGTGGTTTAATTTTCCATGATCGGGGACGGGAAACCCTAACCATCGACTAACAATCTCCAGGACGCAACCCGCAACCGTTGACTAGCTCCCAACTATTTATTGCTAAGTAAACAGAGGCATCTAGTGTAAGGAAACATGCCTAAACGCCTCGCCCTGCCCGGGAAACGACCCCAAGATCAATTGGTTGTGAGCCGACGTCAGTAAAGAAATTCTCTTGGAGTTTTTGTCCTACCAGTAGAAGGTTGCCAACACGAACTGAGGAAAGCTTACAGTAACTTCAATATACGCACTGATGATAGACTGCAAGCAATTTCCTGGTCTATCTATGCTATTATCCAATGCAACCTAACTGCATTTCCATTTCTAAACACCAACATCTCTTGTCTCTATCCGTACTCACATAAACCTCAGTACGTTTATTATTTGCAAGGGCACAAGCGGTTTACACGTAACGATGTACGTGTACATCGATGCAGGTCTGGGGTCTTTGGCACATCAGAGACGGCGGTTAAACAAGGCAATGAGTGGCGGCTCACCGTAAGAGCTGCTTAACTACAGTTCCCCCAGACTCTCACTGCCGGGCGTATGACTCCATCAACTTCACACTAGAATAATAAGCAACTGACAAATGGGTCTTAACAGAAGTCTTTATATGTTATTTGCAATATATTTATAACCAAATTTTGACATTTTTCAATAAAACGAGACAAAAATAGAGGTTTCGTACTGTACGATAGTGTAGGAGTTATTGGCGTTACATCTGGCATGGATGAGTTGCAATTGGGACGGGCTCACCATAGCCCGTGCTACATGGACACTTCGTTCTGAGTAGCTAAATCTGAAACAACAACAACATTGCAATTGGTGCGGCCCCATTGCCGGCCTACGGGAGTTATAAGGTGTGTCTATGAATGTCTTTTGTTTAATTATGTTTTATTTAATTATTTTTATTTTAATATTTTTTGTTTATACTGCTGTGTGTAGCTTGTATTGACATAGTCACTCCATTCCATTTGTACACGATCTGCCACTACAAGGCATTGTAATGATCGCAGGGCAACCCAGTTGGTGTCGCCGGCCCTGAAGTGCTAGTTTATTAGACGGTGTCTGTCATCCTTTAAGTGAACATACTGCCATAATACTGTCATAGCAGCATGCACAGCACCCGCTCCCCGCCTCTTATTCCCAATAGAAGCTGCCACGTATGGGCCAATAGGCCTGCGGTTTCTATTGAACATAAAAATAAAAGAAAGAAACCCCATTGGGTTGTTCATCAACTCCCTTGTACCCGTCCCCAACTAGGGCGGTTCATCCACTGTACCTGTTCCCAGCTTGGACTCGCTTAGCTGTCAGAGGTACAATGATGGCTGAGTTAGGTCACGTGTTTAGATTCATGGCCAATAACTGCCAGAAATTCAACTTATTCTCCAAAATAATAGTACATATATCGACAGTTCTGACATGGATTCAAAAGATGAACTGCGAGACAAAAGAAAAGAATTACCCACTTTTAATATTTATATTTTACGGACATAACATACACAACAGCCTAATTTAACCTCTCCTGGACTTAATATAAACAATCGTAGGCCTAATAAATGCAATCTTAGGCCTTATATTTATATGAACTAAGCCTTTGTAAGCCTAGATTTACTTAGTTATTTCTTGGCCTGTACAATATCAAAATTGTAAAATTTGGCTTTTGTTAGAGCACCACAATCCACTTTTTTGTACTTATAATCCTCAGTCGCTATACTGTATATTTTATAATTTTTTGAAGAAGCATACAACAGCCTTCAAGAATACTTTCACCCTTTCATGACTCATTTTCAATATAAAATATATACAATTACAATTCATTATATAATTTTTCAATATATACACAGTGAGAGGTACACCTCAATGTACTTATTGTTCAGACAGGAATCGCGTAGAACATTGTCATAACAGAGAGAACAGAATCTGTGTTGTATGTCTCCCAGTCTCCCACGTGTTGATTACTATATAAATGTGATAATTGTAACAGCATACAACATATGCTTGGTATTGTGAATTTTGTCATTATTCGTGGTGTGTTATAAGTATACTTGTGTCTGTAATGATGCAGCATATCTGATAAAATACAATGGATTTGATATTCACCTTCATCATATTTTCACCTGTATTGTGCTAATGTCTTGCAAAACTTGTTCATTTCATCTACATATAAGTATATTATTAAATATTCTCACCCACGTGTGAGTGTGTATTGACTATGTGTATTAAGTATTTGTGCCTGCTGAGCAGGCACAAGGCTGAGCAGGCACGGGGTCCAAGAGCTAACATCGAGATGTTATCTCTTGGACCCCGCCTTTCTAACCGATGGTTGTCGAATGAACTGACTCGACCTATTTTTCCTCCATCATATATATTTTACATTTATTTCTCTCTAATGCGTACGCATACATAGCTAGGATGCAGTATTAACAGCTGTCTAACTCCCATGCCAGTACCTATTTACTGATGGGTGGATAGGGGAATCAGGTGGGAAAAACTTAGCATTTGTTTTTGCCCCGTCCGGGAATCAATCCCATGCTATTAGGGCTATGACTCCCAAACGTTGTCCACCCAGACGTGCATGTGTGTGTGGTGCGGGTAGAGTGAGAACTCATCTAATTGAAATTGGGGGATTGGGCTTCAGCTGCGGAATCCCGTCTTTGTCTTCAGTTGTTTGGTGTGCAGGTTATCGAGCCTTACGTACTCTGTAGCATCTATAATGGGAAGATGTACAAGACATCTGCCTTGGCTACTTGCTTTCTCAAGCCATTCCAGAAAAAAATATAATATTTCTGTGGCACGTTTAGGTACTTAATTTCAAACCGTGACACCTTGTAACATGTACATCATTCCATAGATACCCCATACTTGTTTATTTGTGAAATTTATGTCAGGAATTTACACCAAGTCTTTTGCATTCTCCCGAGTGCTTTTGTCAAGGTCTGAATGTGTGATTAGGACGAGACTTACATCTCAACATCTAATCAAAAACGGATTAGACGTTGAGATGTAAATCTCGTCCTAATCACACACTCAGAACTCGATAAAGCACTCGGGAGAGTGAGAAAGACTTGGTGCAAATTCCTTACATAAATTTCACAAATACACAAGTGTGTGGGTTTTTTATCCTATTTAATTAAGTCTGTAAGAAGACATATCATTACTAATATACACCATTCGTGCTAAAAATAATTTTTTTCTACCGATCATTTTTCCCCTCGGTATTATGTATGTGATGGTCATGTCTTCTTTGTGTGCAAATATTATTGCATGTGTGTGTAAACGCTAACATATGAATAGGACTATTGTGTGGGTGTTTACGTTTTTAAAATGTGTATTTTTAAATTTCATGTCCACAATAATTCGATCAATGTCACAATAATTTTCACCCTTGTATATTTAACTGTGATCCTCACAGACATGCATTCCCGAGCACTACCGATGTACAATTCGCATCAATATATATAATATATATATATATATATATATATATATATATATATATATATATTTATATATATATATAATATATTTAACTTTAGACACACCCACCAGGAGACTCAAACCCTGGCCATCAAGATGACGGGTACGCACTTAAATCCACTACACCATACTCAGAGCCCTAAAAGAGGTGGGAATTCCGG